ATTTCTCCTCTCAGGAAATCAGCAGGAAGCAAAACTTTCCAAGCACCTATCTCTAATCAAATTCATCATTTATCATTTCTTACCAACTTATTATCTTATTCTTACTATTTTTCTTGTCCACTTTTTCTACTGTATTTTCTCCAGAACATTATTCATTTTAAAATATATATGCAGGACTTACTAAGATTCAGTAATTCCCTCACCTCCAGTTCTTTTCGAAAAGTCTAAAAATTTTAATTACAAGTTTTAAAAGTAGGTGTTTTATTTTGCTTGTCGTTGACTAATGATCATTTGATAGACGAAGGTCCAGTAAAGTTATTTGATCTTTTATTTTTAATACCCAATCATCTACCACTTTTTTGTCGCAATACTAAAATTAATGTGGATCTTTCAGAGGAGAAGAGTTAAAAAAAAATGACCAGTAGAGAAATCTAAGGTTTGACTACCGATTCAGTTCATATTTTTGCAAAGGTTGGATAGATTCTTTCAGTTTTATGGTGGATAAATTCATACTTTTTCGACAATTAGAAATCTGTTCTTTGGGTTCTTTTGCTTTTGGAACGCAAACGCTGTCCTTCATTATGAGATTATTCAATGATTTACTTAAAAGTCGGGGATCTTTCTAAAGTGTGAGTAATTATTCCTCAATTCCAAATTTTTTTTGTGAGAGAGAAGCGACCTTTAGCCAAATGCTAATAGCACCGAGGAGTCATTATTTATACAATTACAGTAATGACAAGAATGTCGACGGGTTATCTGAATGGCAGCATGCCTAAAGTTGCCCATAACTTCATGTATAAACATGTCACATAAATGTTTTTATAAATTTGTGAGGCTTTTCAAAAACAAATGAATTTCAGTCATTTTTGGCATTCTTTTGAAAAAGTGAGGAGGAATGAAAAAGAGGTAGGTGTATCATTCAGCGATTCATTCTTTAGAGTTATTGAAACAATTTTATCAATTAATTACTTGTTAAAAAATTTTTTTGAGTATAACTGTATAACAGTGAAGCTACTGACCACATAAACAGCATAATTAGCAATTGGATCATTTGTCGTTTTCATTGATAGGACATTCTAACCTTCACATGCAATCCTTTGATATTGTTGTGCGGTCTTTTTGAATGACTCGAATTTTGATTTTCATTTTTAATTACAAACTATCTTACTCTTCTTTAGCATTATAAACTGTTCAAATGGTTTATAATGTTAAAGTTTTTTATTTATTTTTTTTTTTTTGAAGTTTTTAATTATTTAGTCAACGTCACTAATTATTCGAAATACCATATCCTTCTATTCTAATCATTGTTTGATCGTTTACGCAACAAGTAAAACTTTATCTGCTGGATAACACATACTTATGTTTATTGATATTAGACATAAGTGAGGCCTTTTTGCACTTTTTTCAAACTTTCTCTCTATCGTAAAGCTCTTTTAAATCATTTTTCAAAATATCGAATTTCATTTTCGTCATCCTTTGCAAACAAAAGCTATGTCTCACATAAATTCATCTATGATATGATGATTAAATATGGCAGAAGAATAGAAAGAGAAGCACTCTTTGCGGAGAAGTCTCGCGGACTGAAGGCTTAAAGATCTTTCATCGCATTGATGAAATGAATATGAAGTCCACCGCTTAAGTTTCCGTTAATTGTAATGATGAGTTTCACATCACTTATGAAAAGAATTTCTTTTTTGAAAGAAAGGAACGGAATAAGTTTGAGGACTTAAAATCATCAGTGCAGATTGTTGCTTTTCTGTCTATTTTACAGTTCTCTTTCTTCAAAGCATTCGGTAAGTTAATGATAAGTTTTGAAAATACCAAACGGTTATGGAACGATCAGTTATCAACAATAGAGAAAAAGAACAAGCAAAACAACATAATTTTTCTGAAAAGCTTTTTCTAACCGGATTCACAATTTCTTCATGCACTTTTAACTAACTTCAAAGCGTAAGCTTTTATGTTTCGTTGGAAAATAATTGTTGTCAGCTGTTCAGCAATTGTGAAAAAATGGTCAGATCAATGATAATGTGTATCTTGGAATCGAATTTCTAAAAGACTTGGAGTCTAATTATTTGTATAGAAGTTTATTAACATTGATCGCATTTCAGCAAGTTGGAAATTTATCGCTGCACACACAGAAATATACTTATCGTATAAAAAGCAAAATTGTTTCTATCATTAAAAGAAAGCGAAGGGAATCAGAAAAATTTACTTAAGGTTTTCTAAAAAAGCTCAAAAAAAAAAGAACGAATTTGTTCGTTGAAGATAAGTTTTCTAGTATATTTCAGCAATTAGTTATGACCGTACAAACGATCAAAATGAGATCGCCAAAAAACTAAATTGAAAAAGCAAATGAGTTTTTCGAAGACAAGAAAAAAGATCCTTTATGCTTTATATGTAAGTGCTTTCAAGATAAATATTATTTATATCTGAAGTTTCAAATTCTCGCTTCCTCTTGATTAATTGAAATAATTTTGTCTACCCCGGAATGAGTCATTAATTTTAAAATCACATTATATTATCAGTGATCAAAGCGTTCAGCTGTTATTTTTTCAATAAAGGTAAACTTCCTTATTTACCAGACTCCTCTCTCTCTCATTGCTCCCTATTTCCATTTGCTCTTGTCATATATTTTTATTCCATCACTTCGTATGAATTTTCAGAAATATGAATTTTTTATTTTATTTATGTTATAATTTTTTATGGCTAAATATTATTGCATATAAATTGCGATATCTGAAGAATATTTCACTAGAGTAAAAAGTCTTGAGATATTTTGAAGTGATCTCTTCCATATGCTGTAAATTAATGAATTTTTTTGATCAAATTTTTGCCACGAACAGAAATACTCATTCTGTTGACTTGAATGTGTAGGAAAATTACACTTTTTTAACTTTTTGATAGGTAGCAACAGCATCACTAGTCATAAATATACTAGCCAAAAAGTCTGCTATCTTCTTGTTATTACCTCACAAGATTTGACTTTTGATCTTATCACAAAAATACGCACGTCTGTCAATTATCAGTTGTTATTTGTTTTCGACAGTAAATTTACAACAATTAGTAAAAAATTTTTCATCAAAAAAGTTCGACAATTAGAGAAAGCTTTGCACAAAATTCATTTAACAAACACAACGCTCTGTTATCATGTCAAACCAGTTTTTAATGATTTGGAAACACTTTTATATCCTATGTTTTCAGATTATTTAAAAAATATGTGAAGACAGCTTACATTTGAAGCTAAATTTAATTTATTTGACCAGAGAAAAGTGATATAGATGAATTAACAATATTATGATGTATTTTTTTATTATCTTGTTTATTTTTAATGATATTAACACTGTTCATCAGTACTTAACTGTTGTTGTTAATATCAAACACTTTATCTTACCATTTTATAGAAATTGATTAAATATGTGGTATTTATCATAGCTAATCTTTAAATGTCTGTGAAAGCTTTTGTGAACATTTTACAATATTTTTTCTAAATTTTTCATGTGAAAATGCATTTTTTCGTTTTTTTTTTTGTTTCAGTACATTGTAAGTCAAATTCAAGTCAACTTGAATGAAATCTTTTTTCTTTCACAAGATTTTATTTCATATTTTAGGTGACCATTAATTTTTGCTTAAAAAAGCTGAGAAATGCTTTTGTTCGTTTACTTTCTCATAACAAAAGCATTTGTAATAAACTTTATAAAAAGTTCATTTCCAGACATGCCATTAATTAAACACATCGCTACTTAATCATATAACAAAAGTTTATTGTTTATCATAAAGAAACTATAACGCCCATAGATCGCTCAAGTAGAAAGTTTTTGTGTAAATCTCCTATTCATCATTATTTACTAGGTAAAAGCTGAAATGCTGTGCCGTTTTCCCAACGTAAAATCATTATTCAGAACTGTTATCAAACAGAACAATCCAGTCATTCCATTCGCTGTCACTTGCTTTACAAGATTTTCAATTTACTGTTTATACAAAAGATACTTTTTAAGTATTAAATTAAGAAAAAAAATGACAAGAATGAAGAGGAAGCAGGATGAAAAGTTTATAAATATTTCAGTCTAACCTCAGCTCATCCCTGTTCCTTTCTACTTCATTTAAAGAAGTATTTTAATCCGAGAGCTGTTTGCTGATTTTTTAATTTTTCAACGTTTTTTCGCTTCATTCTCGGTGATTCATAGCTGTGATTTTAATATAAAAACGGCATGGATAGTGAAGCATTAAATTTTGATTGAGGTAGAAAATTACTGAAAATGTTCTGAAGCAAGAGAAAGCTACAAATTCAGATAAAAAAGGAAATGAAGGTTGGACTGATCATTCATGTGAATTTTATAATGGAAATTTGTTAAAGTTAATCTGTTGCATTCATTTCAAGAATTTGTATCTCAAACTAGAAAAATGGTCAAAATTTTTTTTAAATTCCAGTGTTGTCATTTCCAAGAGTTATGAATTTATGTCTCCTTCACCATTTCAGTGATTTGTAACAAAATTCAAATTTATGTTAAGTTTGGCGCAAGACAGCTAGAATTCGATACGTTTCTTATAATTTGTTTCACTTTATCAGCATATCTGATTGTGTTATGAGAATTTAATAAAAACTATTTTCAGTTACTAATGAGAAATCACATATCGCTACTTTGCTTTCGACTATGTCAACATATTATTACGTCATCAAATATTTTAATACAACAGCGTCATCTTACTGTATAAACAACTACAATCAAAAGAGTATAGTTCGAAATTTTCTCTTTCATTTTTCCTTAAAAAAATATTAATAAATAAAAATTTATTTTAATAAAAATTTTGACCTCTTTTTTACAAACGCTCTAGGATTATTGCGAAGTCAACTTAATTCCATATGACTTTTTAAAGATGCGCTCAATTAGTTTAAATTGTAAGTTAAATTAAATGATTTGAAATTCCTCAATTACGAAGTTGAAAATTACTTTAACTTTTTGAAATAATAAAATTTCAGTATTCCTCGTACTCGTAAAATGCGCCTGTCTTCGCAGTCTGATGGTGATGAAGCGACTGGAAAAGGTTTATTACCTTCACGATGGATATTTTCATCATTGGTAATTGCTTATGTAATTATAAGTAATTAGAAGATTAGCAGACTGAGTCTTACTATGCTAAGTAAGACACGAGTTAGCTTTGGATCAAAAAAAATGATTGTTCTACCTCTTCAACAGAAATTGAATCACTAACTTATATCAAAGATTTCTTCGAAAGACAATTTAAATGATATCAGCATTAGCTATGCTTATAATTAGTGATTAATTAATAACCGCAATATCTTCTTCTCATATATTATTTGATATTATATTTTACAAAACAAAGTAAATTTGTAAGTTGTCACGATCAACTAGCAGCCGGCATCGTAAGAAAAGGCAATCACAAAAACAACTTTCATTCGATGTGGGCTTATCAAATCACCAAAAGAGAAAATCGAGCAAAAAACAATCAAAATATCGATCACTTCGTTCGATGCTTTACGGCCTGAATATGAAACAGTAAGAATTTGCAAATAAATTTTAAAAAAATAAAACAAAAATCTTGGATGAATAAAACTGCAGTGTTTTCGATGTTATTGAGTAAGTGTTACTATTTGATTTCTTGTCCAGAAAGCTTTAAAAATGCCTTTTACTTTATTTTTTTGCTCGTTTGTAGAATTTGCAACTCAAATACCACCGTTAAAATTCTTACGTAGTACTTATCACATCGTCAAATATTATGATGACCTTTGAAAAATCATCTTTAATTCTGCAATTCTCTATTTATATTTTGTTTTTATTACTCTTTTTCATTTTTTGAATCATTTTGCTGATAAAGTTGCAGAATCAATTTTAACCATTTTTTACACCAACTTCACCCACCCAAAATACACTTATGAAAATTTCTAAAAAATAAAAAGTGATAAGAAACCCAAAATTATAATAGTAATATAAAAATGTTATTGTAATATTTTTATGTACAATCTGCTAAATTACCTGCAGTGCTAAATACATAGGACAAGCTTGTTATCTTTTGTTTGCTAAAAAAATAGTGCAGTAAAAATGCGTCGTATGTTTGACATTTTTACTGCTAAGATATTCGCAATTGTGAAAGTTGAAGAAATGATCAATTGGAAAACAAAGGAAACAGTCTCTGTGTTTCGAAATATTTTAATAAGAATTCGAAAAAATAAATTAATAATGACAGCTAGAATAATAACTTATAACTAATAATAATTTTCTCCGTTCCTGTAAAGAACATTCTACACCGAGCTAGAAATACCAGAAAGGGAAATGTGGTGACAATAAGAGAGACCCGAAATAACGGAACGATCCGTTATTACTTTGCAAATCCTTAGTTCTGGGTGCAACGGTAAATTTTCACCCGGTGACGTATTTATGCCATATATCCTGTGTTTTTTATATAATAAGTCACTAATGAGACATATTTTCATGATGATTGGAATTAAATAACTCACATAAGCTAGAATTGACAATTAAGCTTGCCACATGACAAAATAGGTCAAAAGAGCTAAGCAACCGATTCAGATCAAAATAAAAGATACGCACTTTGATTCGAAAACATATTTCTGATTTCTACCGGAAAATTAAATAAATGTTTAGTTTGCAATTGAAAGGAAAAATTTGATTCTGGAGGATAAAAGCATGGATTTTAGATCAAATTGTTCCCAAAAAACTTGAAAGTTTAAGAAAAATACTTAAGCAAAAAAAAAAAAAAAGACGAATTAACCTAAAAAGTGGGAAGGAAAAGTAGTAAAAAGTAAATCAATCGAAAAAAAATTTTTTTTTTTTAAATTGAGGCAAAAAAAATGTTAAATGAACTCAAAAAGTAGAAAAAAAAACTTATATATCATGAACAAAATTACAATCGTGGATTTAATCAACTTTTTCCTAGCCTAGTCCTTAACATCCACTGCGATAATAGCCATATGATAGAAATCCTACCCTCAGAAGAAATTTTGTTATCGAAAGGTAAATTGGCTGTTCATTCAAAAAGAAAAAAGAAAATTACTCTTCCGAATTTTTGCATTTACTTTGTTTGGTATCGTTTTTACCTTCGGAACAATCGTAAAATTTGAAAAAAAAAACTGATAAAATCAATTAATTGCTTCAAAATAAAGAGCACAATTAATTAAAAGCTATTATTTCTTTCCTCTTATTTTTAAATCTTAGTCATATCCATCTTTGCTTTTTTGAAGAGACATTTCGTTTCTTTAACATACTACGACACATCGATTAACAGAATCTAAAACCTTTGTAATCGGCACTGTACTTTTAATCTTTACATATCCATTGCTTGTGATAATCAAACTAACTGCTTAATTTGTTGACCAATTTTCCATACATTTACAATGAAGCAAAATGATATTCTTAGTGGTTAGCAATAGCATCTATGACTTTCATTATATAAACAAATAAATTTACTTCATTGCTCCGTAACATACGCAATTTATTCTTATTTCCCAAGCAGAAAAGGAAAAAGGAATCAAGCCAGAACTCTGAGTAGTGATTATTTATGTTGCCTTATTTCTCTTGGCCACACTTACTACTGCATCCTTAATTTTTGACAGCTATTTTCAGTTTACAACACCAGTACAATAGTATTCCTGTCAATAGGCTTTACAAAATATCTCCTTAATATCAGATAACTAGCTACCACCACATAGCCACATCGATGTTGTTTCTTGATTTAGTTTTGATTTCATTTAGGCATCTTTTGCATAGCTAGAAGACTGTTTTGAACTTATTACCAAAGCAAAAATTTGGTCCATCTGTTCACATTTTTTCTAATCAATCATGTTATAATATGATCTTCTTTGAAGATAAATAGCCACGATGATGACTTTAGATATTTATAAATCTAAGCTTAATTAGTTTCAATCACTTCTTTTCCTATCAGTTATTCTGCAGTAAAGAATTTTTTTTTTAATTTTCTAAAGAATATCTTATTAAAAATTAAATATTTCAAGTGACCAATTTTCCTCATCAGCTTAATCGCTATGATTTTTTGTGTTTTTTGAAAATTATAAAAAGATGATACATTAAGGAAAATATTTAGGACAGAGAACGAATTTAATGGAAAGAAGTATAAGTTGATTTAAATTAAAGATCTAGTTAAGTAATTGAAAACATATGCTTTGTTTATTAAAAAAATTGCAGTCACGAATTCTTACTGCAAAAGAATTTATGAAATAGTTGAATTATGGATTACAATTTACTCACATTATTTATGGAAATATCAGTGAAATTTTCCTGCTTATTTCAAAAAAAAACAATAATTCTCATAAAATTATTATCAATAAAGACATTTTTTCAAGAATATTTCAAGCTTTATGGAAGACGGACTTCATCACTTAGCTCTTTTAAATTAAAATGAATTTTAAAGTTCTCAGTAGGTAAAGAATGATTATGGCTTGCTTCAGGGAAAAGGAAGAAGCTCAGCGAATGAAATTACTGAAACAAGAAAAAGGTTGGTCTTTTATTTATTTCCTAACTTATTTTCATTTTAAATTGAAATGAGAAAATATGAATAAATGATACTATTAATAAGCCAATCATTCATTTGTTGTTAATGTTATTACTACTATCACTATTTTCTAAGAACATTAAAATTGCTTAAGCAATAAACAATGTGAAATATTCCCATACTTATTCGGAAATGTATCTTTGTTGTTTTCCGCGTGTTCTCAATTTGAATTTGAATACACGAATGTTTTCCATCTAATTAAATCAATCTAGTTTTGCTCAGCGAAGACAAGAATTATATATATATATTTTTTTTTGGCTAATGTTTTACTATTTACGAAAAACTTAAATCAAGAATGAAAATACGAGAGATAAGAAATAAATTCTAAACTGGGAATAAACAGAAATAATAAAATATTATGAAATTCAAACTAAACTAATTGATTTCATCTCAATTTAATTTTGATTTCCAATTCTACATAAGTACAAGCATCATCATTTTTAGTTTGTCGAAGTGTGGACATCCCTTTATTACTTGTTATAAGAAACCGATGTATATTGTTTTGGCAAGCAAATAGGTTGTCATTTAAAACATAGTTAACTTTGTGTCCTGCCTGTTCACTTCTTTCTCATCCCTTAAAATTGATTTGTTTGATTGACAATTTGATTGTTAAATGATTTTAATAAGTATCGATAGCAATGACTTTTGCTTGTGAACTCCAATTGCCAAAGTCATTTACTGAAAGATGAAAATATGCTTAACAGGGCGACATTGAAACTTTTCAGTTCCGCAATGAAAGGAATAGAAATGAATAACTTTAGACATGTTTTTAATGATAACTTCTTCGAGGCTTATGAGAAACTATTAGCAAATTGGTTATATACTAGAATGTAATTTCAATTTAAAATCATATATTAGATCAGATCAAATTAATTGGTAATCACTCGGTGAAATTATTACAACTGTTTGCGCACTCCAATTATTGTCATATTATCTCAAACTACTGTTACTAATATTGTTATAAGAACTTCACAATTTTTCAGTCTAAAGCGAGTTCCGAGTTTCATTATTGATTGAAACTGAATAGATTCCAAGCGGATCATGAAAAAAGCACTTCTTGTTCCGGAAAATACAGATGATTAAAAGGTGAGTGCTGATAAGTGCTTAGGATTTTATATGATCCAGTTAGCATTGTATTTGAAATTGGCTAAAAACACGGTAATTTGGTAGATAGCAAGCCCAACACTCTTTTATCCACGTCATCAACTGATGGATACTAGCTTTGTTTATGTGTGTATGTGTTTATATGTACGTGTGTGTGTGTGTGTATGTGTGTGTGTGTGTATGTGTGTGTGTGTATGTGTGTGTGTGTATGTGTGTGTATGTGTGTGTGTGTGTGTGTGTGTGTGTGTGTGTTTGTGTGTGTGTTGTGAACATACACTTTATTAAGCCTTTCCAAAATAAGTTCTGATTTCCGTCTCCAAATGCCTCGAAGTGCCTTGTTTCTATCGTCTTTTTTAGTTTTAAAAGTTCTTTTCATTATTGACTTTTTAAAAAGTCTTCAAAATTTTGAGAAATTTTTCAAAGAACAACCAGATTGAATTTTGTACGGTTCTTAGTTCAAAAATATGTTAAGATTTTTTTGTGAATCGCAAACGAAAATGAGATCTGATTAGACTTATTTTGAGAATGGATTAACAAAATATACAAGCATTGCATGTCACCCTAAATGCGCACTTGGTAAATGTACGTTTGAGTACTCTTTATGTAAAATTCATTTTATAACTTTCAACTGACAGTATTATGTCTTTTCTTCATAATTGAAGTTTGCACTGGATGATTATTATAAAATTATTATAAATTACTTTTTAATTAATATAAACTAAAGAAATATTTGATGACGTGAGAAAGATCAAAGAACACCACGAAGTTTAAGTATTTTCATACTATTCCTTTCCGGTTTTTGAAACCGTCAACTATAGTAAGTTAAAGAAAATGCAAATGAGCGCCAGTATGAGATTGATGATTTAAATAACAAGAAATTAGAACTAAAAATCGAGTTCTAAATCATAAAGCCTAGGTGATCATTGTTTTATAAATATGACTCTAACAAATACGACAAAATTTAAATCTATTAGCAGAGAAAACATTGGAGCACATTTTCATAAAGTGTTCTCTTCTCAAATTTGCATAGCCATTGTACACGTTTCAAGCAAATGGACAGCCTTCCTTGTATGAAATTTGAATGCTGAATTGCTTGAAAGACAGATCTTTTGAAAAATTAATCTATACATTGAAAACTTTCTCTTCAGAAACTAATTTTAGATTATATTAGCCTTTTCAGAATTCTCTCCCGAACTGCATCAGATCCAATTGAAAAACTTATAATCAGTAAATATTAGCAGTGCTGTCAGTGCTTACAGCATAAATCGCACCTATACAAATCGCTTCAGTACATTTCGAGTTATAGGTCAATCCTGCAGGTCCAAAAAAAGAGACTCACAATATTGGATTAACTGAATTGTTGTCGCTTATTGTCAGTTTTCACTTGTAATACTTCCAAAGTTCTACTGACTGATGTGAATTTAAAAGCATTCCGAGAATTTTAAGAGCTCAAATATGCAATTTGTTATAAAAAGGGGAAAGTCACTGCGCTTCTGTTGCATATCACATCATGAAAGACCCATGTGTTATCTAATTTTGCTGAAACATAAATCGGTTAAAATGGATTTAAAATATATCCTCTTATTGTCCATAACTGATAATAAAATGCTACTTCTTTCCTCACACATTAATTAAATTTGTTATTATTCCCACATGGATGTAACTGGAAGGATTAAAACTTTGGAATAAGAGCTAATGCAATTTATGCGCCACATAAAACATGAGCAAAGCTTTATAATTAGGAAACAATACACATATGGCTATTCTAGACTATTTATATTGTCTAGTGGGTCGCAGTTGCCGGGCTTAATTTCATTGTACATTACTCGTTAGATCGGTACTTTAAAGGGAGTGCTATTAACAATAACCAACATTTTTATCTGAATTTCAAGTTCTAGAAATTTAGTAGAATTGTTGAGTATTTTCAAGCGTATGGTCTATGATTACTTTTGAAACAGAACTACTGAGATATTTTTTAGTGGTGTAGCTCAGATTAGATAGCATTTACAATCAGCTGTTTGTTGATTCAAATAATCAGCCTTCGGTGAAATTAGAAATTATTTTTAATTCTTGGCAGGTGCAATTCAAACAGTTCAGTCTATTCATCCGCAATGAATGTCATAGTCAACATTCTATAGAAAGTTTCAGGTTGGTTTGGCATGCATAGAATTCCTCTAAAACGTTTGCAATACATTATTGTAGCCATCACTTTCATTTCTAAAAAACATTGAAATTACGACAGGTAGGAAAAAATTTCCGCTTTAATCAACAAAGTCTTCTACTTTTTTTAAGTTGTGCCAGCAATCCACCAAAGAAGACATTCGTCTTGAATCAAGAGAGATTTGCGTGTCAAAATCGCTTTCCGATTTTGATTGAATCTTTCCTGAAATACTTGGACAAGTCACTGAGTGGTCATTGTATATTCTATACGCGATTCATACAAATGCACTTCCTAATAAGCAAAACAGGTAAATATTTGCATAGAAAATCTCAAAAACGATGGGTTCATCGTCATTTTCCGAACACTAAAATCTCGAAATCAGAAAGTTTTAATATTAAATGCAACACAAAGATGAGATTCATTGATTTGTGTCTCTCATTTTGATATGATCCCATTTCTGACCTTCATAGGGAGAGAGAGAGAGAGAGAGAGAGAGAGGGAAAGCTAAATCTCATATTTGTTGTTTAACACATAATGATTCAAGTCTTCATAATTTAAATATTTCCTTTAGTAAAGGAATTTTTAAGATAATTATCACTAGTGTCATTATTGTCTGTAATTAGATCATCTGCGAGCCTTTACCTAACTTTTTGCCTGTCACATTTGATAGAAGAAAGTTTCAGAAGAATTACAAGAAGGAATTATCTTTGACTTTGCACAAACATCTTTTGGCTATAATTTCGAACTCCATATACTCACGTTGAGAATCGTGAGATAAAAAAGCAGATTAAGGAAACAAAAGTTAATGGTTTAAACAATTCGTTAACGAACTGTTGGAATTAATTAAATGGGTGTCATAACGTAGATACCATAGAAGGGGATGAATAATTGGCTTTTTTCATTAGAAATGTTTAGAATAAAAGGTTTTTTTTTTTTTTTTTTTCATCTATAACAAATAAATCAAAAAGCGTAGCGAAAGAAACAAATTTTTTCAGAAAAATGGGGTGTTAGAAAAGAAATAAGCTGCGAAGAAGTTGATAAAGAAGGGTTGACGGAGAAAAGGACAAAGAGAAGTTCAGTAATGATGATAAGTGGAGATAAGGGCAGTGATGAGGATGATGGTGATGCTAATGATGTGATAACAGAAACTGTGTAGTTCAGTTCATGGACTTACCTCACTCACAAATCTCTTTCCTCAGCAAAATAACATTTTGTCAGGGCCAATAACATATCATTAACCAGAGAGGTGAAGAAAACAAGGGAAAGAAGAGTTAAATCCAGGAAGAGTAAGGAGACAAAAGTTTTCAGTTTCGTTCTTTAACCCTTTCAGTTCCCTCTTCAGTTTCGATATCTATCAAACTACTTAGCTTACTCTCTAACTTGTTAGCTTTAGACTTTCCATCTTATCTCTATCTTCCTTCATCCTTAGATCCACCTGTTTTTGAATCCTACTTTACGACTTCCCTTTTCCTTCATAAGCTCGTAAATTTGTATCCTAGTCCTTTTCCACATCACATTTTGAATAATATTTCTCCCTTTCTATCCTCAAACCACTCAATATTATTGTTATGTACTTGTTCATGTTTTCCTTGCATTATTTCTATTTTCCGGAAACCGAATCATCCTCTAAACGACGCTTACTATTACAATACTGAAGCATACTGAGGTTCATTGTGCCTTTAGAATCATCACTCTTCTCTGTCTTTCCTTCCATATGCGCCGCAGATGAGACATTCACATACTTTGTTGCTTTTGTTAGTAATAATATCATTAAATCATTTTTCATTGTTTCCTGCAGAAATCTATGCATCCAATTTATAACATTTATTTGCTAAATTGCCATAATTATTATTGATCTTACAGGTTATGCCATTCCTTCCACTCAGTTAGCAATGGTTACTATCGGTTACGGAGGGGAGGGGAGTGAGTTGCATGTGCGACACTGCCGCATCAACTTTTAGGTCCACTTTAGATTTCAGTAGGTGGATTGAAACAACCAAATCTGGGAAATTTGTTGAAGAAAGAAGTGATGACATCTAGTACTGGCGGGTGGTTTTTTCTCTTCTATTCATTCTCTCAAAGCCACCTGTTCCCTTTCTCCTCGGCGCTCTTTCTCAATCGCTTTTGTCTGCTACATAATAAACCCTATCTGTTAAGGATTCTACCTCGAATATATATGTCCTACTGATCGAAAATGTAATAAAAGTCGATAACAATGAATAGTGCTAGTAAAATAATAATAAATTAATAATTATGTAAATTAATTTGCTGGAGGAAGCATGTTACATCATATCTCTAAGGTCATTTTTTTATTTTGTGTCTTTGACAACAGCTAAATTCAACTTCTTCTCTTTGTTAGTCCTATTCCAACCTCTAGCTTCTTCCCTATAAGTGTAGTATTTGCGCATTATTTATATTAAGACCAGATGAGGAGCGATTACTTTTTGTAGTTTTCTTCCTACGTTACGCAGCTGTTTCGTACAAAAATTTCCAAATACTTTGTTGAATTTCAGAAAAAAAAGTTAAAACTTAGACTTTCTTCGTTTAAATCTCTTTGGGAAGTGACCGTTTGATTTGTTGACTCTATTTGTGCCGAAAGACAGAATGATTAGCAGCATAATCCTCTTACTATGTTTGTCATTCTTGAAGCAATGGCTATTATTTTTGACCCAATAGTAAACGACTAGTACCACTCTAGCTTCAAGGTATTGGGATATTATTTTTCTCAAAAATTCCAGAATACTAATTTGAACAGAAATTCTTAAAAAAAGGCTCCAAAGTTCAAAAAATGTGATGCTAGAACTTTGATAATGCCAGCTAATTGTAGTGATATTCAGTCTTCTCTCTCTCTCTGTCCCTGAATTTTGATTTGGAAACAGCAAACCGAATTTTTTCCCAGAAATCTTTATCGGATATTTAATGGGCTAATCCGTACAAGCAAGTATTCAATTATTCATTCAGAATTAATTTCTCCATTATTTTGAGAAACTAATTTTCTAAATTGTTATTAATTTCCTCTCCCTCCAAAGATCACATATCAATGACTAAAACATTATTAATATCACTGATCAAAGTGTTTTTCTCAGTCATTAATTCTGGTTTTGTATCTGTACGAGAGTTTTTCACTGCTAAATTAGAAGTTTTTCGATAGAACAGTAGTAAAATAATCAGTTTCTAAGACACTGTTCTTATTGATATCCTATGACCACTTTTTGCTTCCATTAGGAAGCACTAGGAGCTACTTCTTCTCTATGAATTTCTCAGTGTTGTATTATTGTATGTCGAATTTGGCCTTAAACCCATTCAAGTAGAGTTCATCAACAAATTCTGCATCCCACTGCTCCTTATTTATAGTTGTTTGGAAAATCATGTTGCATAGCAATAATGTATTTTTCAAATATTGTGACATAAGTAAATTGTGTCTCAGCAATTGCATTTTCGAAATTTATGTTCGACAATTGAATTTCTGAAATTTGTATCTCGAAAATTGAATTTCCAAAATTTGTTTGCCGACAATCTTGATAGACATTAATTTTTGTTGATTAAAAAAGCACCAGAGATCTACTACCAACCCATCACAGTTGGGTGGAAAGGAGAAAGCTTCAGCACAAACTTTAAGCTTCAAGTTGAAAGAAAAACAAACATCGATTCCAAAGAGAAGTTTATTTATTAGCCTTCTTTCAGCGACAAAAAAGTTGCGCCCAGCCTTCTGCATTCTTTTACTTCATCATGTGAGAGGGTTTGCATACGTATTATTTTTGCCACCGGTCGACGACGTTTCGTTACGGAACTCAAATATAGCACTAATACGCCTTAATGCGAAAACATTTATTCTTTCCTGTTCCGCTTATTGCGATTTTAGTTTCTTCTTGCTGCGAAACCGAAAGGGTTGCTACGATCATAAGACTATGTTTTGTGATGTAAAAATCTATGCGATCCCCATCGATAATCAAGAAATAAACTATTTTTTTAATCCATTTTGCCGTTCATTACTTTGCTTAATTCTGATTGCTGGAAGCAAATAATGGCGATGACACCAGAAATTATAGTAGAAAAAGCTTCCATTGCACCAGAAACTCCAGAAAATCAACGTCGCCAATATAACAGAGTTAAACAACAACAAGGACAATTGCTAGAACCACAGCAGAGTTCGTCATCCTATGATTACTGCCATTATTATCATGATAATTCAGATCATCGGCAGAATGCTTCTCCATCCAAACAACAGTCACTTTCATCACCCTCCGTTACTTTATCATCACCAAAACTGACATTTCGTGAATCGCTTCGTGACTTACATGTTCCCAAAATTTGGTCTAACTTACGAAAATCAGCTTCTGAAATAAGTCTAGTCTTGGAAGCGATGCGTTCCGGATCTTTACAAACGCATGGAATACCACCTTTACCAGGTATTACGGTTGGCGGTGTTACGGTTGGCGATAATGCTCCCAAGTCAATCCGTGTTTCGGCAGTGAAAAAACGAAAACGTCGTAAAGCATTAGTCAAGTGGCAAAATTATTCACCCCATCATCTCAACGAACAAATACGATATGGTAATTAATTAAATCACTTTTTAAATTTTTGCCATTTTTAAAGCTTTTCTAGCATATGGATACGAAAATAAATAAGCTCCTTCTTTTTCATTACTTTATTTTATCAGATAATTCATTGAAAGACACAGTTCTCTACTTGATCTCAAAAGTCTTGACAGCATATTAAACTACTAAAATCTTTTCTCATTAATTGCTATAATGTCCACATGTTTTAATGCCATTTCTCATCGTTGCCAATATTAAAAAAACTTAAAATTCTTTCTGTTTTACATAAAATTTTTCTAGTATAAATATTATGAAATATGACATATTGACCATAAGTTAATTGCATTATAATAGATAAATTTACGCCAACTTTTGGCAAACTGACGACTTTACTCTTTTTCATCGATGGAACAGTTGTTATTGGCGCAGACGGATGTTTAGAGAAAGATTTACAACTGGAAACGTTCTTCAACATTTCCAAGAATCATTCAGCTGTGCACTATGCTTTACACATTGTGGCAATTATTGGATATGTTTATGTAGCAGAAACTGCTCAAATATACCTCATTAATGAAAATTAAGAGATCGATGTGAGAGATTAATTATTAACTAAGCTTAGGCTTAACTTGATTTAGTATTCGATTAAAATAGTATAAACATCCTAATTAATAGTGGCACAACGATGAAATTATCAACTGATAAACAATGAAAAAAAGAAAAGATGCATGGATCTAATGAAATCACTACAGATGGTTGAATTAGAATGGGACGGTTTGGAAAAGAATTTGAAAAAGGAATGCTTGATGATTTTGTCGATTTTTCGTACTTTATGTAGTAGTAAAATTGATTTCCACTTTAATGAGTGTTCCAAAAATTATAAAGGACAAAGCGACAGGCTCAACTTTATTTTCTTTAGAAATTGCAACTTATCTTTTGAATCGATTTGTATTGTTCATACATTTATAATATATTTTATTCTATTTTAAACTAGAAGCTCATATATCTTTTATTCATGTTTTTATTACACAACCCTTTTCGTTATATTACGTTTCAGAAATAAGGTATGCATTGTATGAATTTCACAAGCAATATATCTCTGTAATAAGTTGCAGTGTTTATGATAGCAGCGGCTTAGAAGAACCGAAATGATAAGTTCAGAATGATAAGTACTGGTTATCAGTAGCGTGTCCATTGATCCTAATGCATAGATCACAGCTAACAATCGATCTTCATATTGCTACTACATTCAAAACTATTTTGGACAATTCTAATTTATTTACAGAATAATAAGAGGAATAAATTTCAGTAGTCTTACTGAACGAATTGCAATGAACATTCTTCATGGAGTGCGAAAGAATTAGCTGAAATAGAGAAATTAATATTTCTTTTTTTAAAGTCATAAAATTGCTATTTGTAGATGTTCTCAAATTTCCAGTATTGCAAGCTATCCATTCTTCTGTGTCCATTAGCTCAGGTTAGAATCTTTTACTCACGAACAATTGGCCTAATTTTCAAGTTTTATATTAATATCGTAAATTGTTCTTTGCTACTGTGTAACCCGTATTTCTCTTTTACTTCATAAAATTTGCGCTAGATAAGGAGGAATTTAATAGGGCAATTTGGATTTGTGAAACTGGAATATGATAACGATCATTATGTTTAATTTATCAAATCCTAAAAGAATGTTTCATCCTTTATGAGAGGTAGAATTTGCTAATCACTATAAGATGCTAGAGCTTAATAATCATTATAAGAAGAGCCAACAATTACTTTAATGGTTATTCGATAATCACGATTATATTGATCATGAGGTAGAGGATTACTAAGTTTTCCCTTGAAAACAGGGAATATGCCGTATCAAAGGAATTCAAAGCTACGAAAAAGATGAGATTAGGTACATAAAAAGTAAAACTCATTCTGGTTCTTGGGGAAAAAGCTTAGCAAGCATTCCATTTGAAACATTCAAATGCTATGGATTCATTCTTTTCGTAACGAAACCGGCAAATATCCGGTCCTTTTTAATGTTTTTAGAAGACTTACCAAAATTTTACTTTCCAAATTTTGCCTAACTTTTCTGAATAATTTTTATTAATAATGATCTTATATGAGCTTCAGTACATTAAACTTTTATATATTTATTGTATTTATGCAACGAATCTTAACACACCTGTGAGACCTTAGTATTCTTTAATCTAAAAAGTGCAGATTGTCTAGTTTGTTTGGTCGGTTTTTTACCGACTTTAAGTTTATCAAAATAACACTTAATATGATTCAGACCTTTCACTGTATTTATCTGAATGCACTGCTTAAGGAAAGGTTATTTCCAGAGAAGTTCTTTAAAAAAGCCTTGAAAAGATTTTACCTATCAAAACTATAATAAACATGGAAGTCTTCTGTTGCAACAAATCATCATACTCTCATTATTTCGTTTCAACTCAACTGAATTGAGATGGGTTTTGGGCTTAGATAAAACTAAGCAGTTATAATTTAAACAGTTTACAATTATTTATCTGTCATTTAAGTTTTGCATGCGTACTAATTGAATGTCTCTTGTACCTTACTGAGCAAACATCGTCACTGAAAATGTTTCAAAATTATGAAAGTTTTGAAAAAATTTTCAAAAAAAAAAACCTATTAAAATCATCTGAATGTCAACAAATGAAAATGTTGATTAATTCAGTTTCTTCTATTTACGCAATCTTGACGAATTTCAAAGTGGACTGATACAATACCATTTGCTTTACTTAGGAAGTGATTTCATAGTATTATCAAAGAATTTTGTGGTCCCATTTTTGAGCGATATGAAACATACTGTTTAAAATTCATTTCATTTTTAGATGATAGCAGCCTGCCAAGCCTGTCATTTTTTTGTAGAAGAAATTGAGGATAACTAAATGTAACTGAAATTTAATGATTTCTGTCACTGAGCAGTATTACCAGCCATGCAGTTAAGCATCATATTGCATATTTCTATAAAGAAAGAAAAAAAGTGGAAATGCTAATTATGCTTATCTAACTTTGGCCAATTATAAGAGTCATATTCACCATCGAACAAAGATTGTTGAATCGTGTCAACAATGGGGCAAGCTACTATGTTCAATTAAGGAAAATTTTACGATACACTTATTGGAAGATTGTCATTCTCAAGAAGTTCCACCTCAGATACATACGACCGATCAGGAAATATGTTTAACCACCTGACCATCAAAATTCACATCTTTTCACAATAAGTTTATTTTACCAATATTTTATAGCTCACTCCTGTAACTGTAAACATCAGTTCTGGTCACAGATACTTTGCATCTGTTTATTAAGATTGCGGAGTGCGCTTAATCATTTTTTATAATTCGCAAACTTCATTATCTTCAAAGCCATCACGATTTTCCACTAGAAACAGCTTATTTTTTTACTTCATATGTTTGTTGGTTTTTTGTCATAATGAACTGTGAGCGAAAAAATGACAATAATATTTTTAACTTTGGACAATAATTTTAATTAGCATTTTCATGAGAATCCAAAATGTTTTAGCATTTCTTTATTTATAAATTTTTTGGATCTGTATGTTTCTGGAGAAAGAGATGCATTCAAGTTATTCTCCATAGTTTAATTATTATGAAAATCATTTGCTGCTTTATAGCATTTCTGGCTCAAACTTACTATTAAATTACCTGAATATGGATCCTGGATATGGACCATTTAAGATACATACAGCATCTGAGAGTTCAATGAGTTAAAGCTCTCTGAACATTTTCTTTGTCAACAAAAAACAGTTGACATTGATTGTCACGTCACACATCATCAATTGTACATCCTGCTATGAAATATAATATTTGAAACATTTCGCTAAAATAAAATCGATGCAATCATCAAAAGTGCATTGTTTTTTGCAGTTGAACTATATCTTACTCAGTAATTAATAATCATTTTTCATATCATTAAAAAAAAACTTTAGACAAAAGTTTCTTTAAAAAAGTGTACTATATCTATTTAACAGATCGTTAAGGCTAATCGACTAATTTATATATATAAAGGGTTACAACTTACAATAGATTGAAGGCAGAAAACTTTTTATTGATAACAAATTAATATCAAAAAGATCAGCTATTTTGTTTTAGTTGCATGTTCTTTATAGCAGTATCATTTGCAAGAAAACATAAAATATTCTTACTTTCAACTCTTCTCATGTATCTCCGTCCTTACTTTTCAATTATGTATTATATTTCCAGTATGTTTCGTTTAGGTTATATACCTAGAAGACTAACTTTGTTAGTTTATCATTATTAATAGTTAGCATTCATTCATATGAAATAATATTGTTTTATCCATTGAAAAGCAATGGAAATGCCTTTAGAATTAAAACATTTTAATGTAACGCTCGCAATTACTTTTTCTTTTTTTGCTTTTATTGTTTTAAAATCGTTCTCACTAGAAAAATTCATTTGTTTAATTATCGAAAATTATTGTTCTTTTCGACTGCCGCATTTAATCGGAATGAATGTATGCGGTTATTTCAGCCATTGAGGTTTTATATTTCACATTATCGAAATTTCAACATATTAATTTGTAGTATCGCTGATTTCTTCAGCATTTCGATCAATCAAGTTAAAAAAAAAAAAAAAAAAGGAAGAATTATTTGATTGATTTCTCTACGCTGAAGTTTTAATTTACTCAGCCTCTTTTTATATTTTTTGATCGTTCATTTTTAAAGCAATGACAAAACGGTAAAACCCAAAAAGCGAAGTAAAATTTTCATTGTTTAAATAAATTTGCTTAACATTTTACTGAAAAACAAAGATTTAATTTAAAAGGTTTACTGCAAATCAAAAGAATTGGTTGCGGGATTAGTTCATTTCAGTGCAAGAAGAAAAAGCGATGCAGGCAGCACCATCAGCGCCCATTGATGCATCTAAATTTGTTGCATATGTTACGGAACGACGGAAAAAGAGGATTTTGTTTAAAGGAGAATATATTGTGAGTTTTTTGAAAGGACAATAAGCGCACTTGTCACACTGCTACTGATATATGTACAAATATTTGCAAATTAGCTGTAGTTGGTTAGCAGTTTGTCTCGCAGAACTTTTTTCGTTTTATTGTCTTCTCTCAAATAGGTAATACAAGTCTTTTTTTATCAGGTAAATGGCCCAGTTGTTAAGCAAATTATGAGGAAAATACTCGAAAATTTGCAGATGATATTACGATCGGTGAATCCGACCAAATGTCGATGTGATATCGGTCAGGCAATGGAGAACCGTAATCAATTCCCTGATACGCTGCCATATGATTACAATCGTGTCATACTACGTATGCTCCCTGGCGACAAAAATTCCCACTACGCTAATGCTAGCTACGTCAATGTTAGTTCTTAAGATTGTACTTTTACTTCAAAATTTCACACACATTATGAATTTTAAAATTCGAAATTTGCAATGAAACGAAAATACACTACTAAACTACTAATAGAAGTTACCAAGCTTTTTATCTTCTGTCATGTTTTACTTCTGTTCTGAATTTAATTTTTTTTTTGCATTATTCCAGTCTTCATTATCAAAACTGGTTATTACAAACAAGATTAATCCTTTTTCGAAGCTCTTCGATGAACTACTCCTTTTCTAATTTTTCAAAGCTGTTCTCATAGTGAAACTTTAAAATTATTCCATTCTAAAGAAGAAGAAGAAGAAACAGAAATGCAAACATACAGCGTCACTCACTAATTTTCTTATTTAAGCCAGACAAGTGCGCCTGAACGTTTAATTCAGCAATAGTCTTTATATATTCGTCCTTTCTCACTCATTTCCCCTTCTCAAGCAACTAACTAAATAAATAAGCAATTGATATTATTTTTGATTTATTTCAGAGTTGGCTACGTGAGAAGGCTTATGTTGTAACGCAAGCTGTTAGGACCAAACCCGCAATAGCGGAATTTTGGAGATTGATTTGGGAGCTTGGATCAAATTGTATAGTTATGTTAACTAAAGTTTTTGATTTTATGCGGGTTAGTTTGATTTTAACAATCCATAGTTAGTTTAGTTAACTCTAAAGCTACTGCAGCATATTGATTAATGACCTAGAACAGTATTTAACTTTTGAGTGATAATGATGGGTTAGTGTTTTTAATAATAATAATAATAATAATAATAATAATAATAATAATAATAATAATAATAATAATAATAATAATAATAATAATAATAATAATAATAATGAGTGTAAGCTGTTGAAATAATTCTATCAAAAATATTATAAAAAACAAGGTCCCTTCATTCAAAATAAATATAGGTCATGTGTCTTCAATATTGGCCTGCTACATCCAGTGAATATGGCCAAATCGAGGTAGAAACATTGGAGACCAAAAGTTACGCTCATTTTGTAAGTTCAAAGTTGCAATAATCAATAGAACAAATTGCTAGTTTAACGATGTTTCTTTAGTAGATAATTTTTTTGAAGATTGTAAAAATGAAGTTGAATTTTAAGTTGAATGACACGTCTCATTTGCCTATTATGGCATCTATATAATAACCAATCAGTCACCTGAGATAGATTTAGAAAATAAATTTTTGAAAAATATTCCGGAAAAAGAATCTTCGGTCACTCGCATGCCATTTTTGTTCCTCATTTCTGAGATTGTATTCTAGAAGTTCCATTATCAGAAGACTGTGAAACATCTCCATATATTCCAACTTACATTTATTGAAAACTAATAGAAGACAGGGTTTATAGATCATACGTACGTTACGGTTATCAAAAGTGGATCCGGATGTGGGTCAGCAATCTCGCGTGATTAAACATTTTCATTTTACTGAGTGGGAACTGGACAGTTTACCGTATATTAGCGCCTTTATTGAATTACGTCGACGAGTTCGTCAGTACACTGACAAATTTCGTGCCGATGCACCAATTGTTGTACATTGCAGGTTTGTTTATTTCTGATTACTTTAACATCTTTTCAATAAAATTATTTGTGGTAATAGAATTTTGAAGAAAATATCATCGGAAAATATTAGTCTCCAAAACATACTTTTCTAAAAAGGGAAAAAAGAATGAAACAGACATAATTTAGCAAAAATATTGAAACGAACTTTTTTTCAAAGAGAACTTCTGTGTTCCTTTGGCAAAAGTAGAGTACTATAATAGTATATTTTGGTGAATCAAAAGTCAGATTCATCAGTGGATAATATTTTTAATTTCTTTCTATAAAAAGCATTGACGAAAGTCAGGTTTATGACAGAAAAGTCTGGAGCATGAGGGTGGTATTATCACCGTCGAATTTTCGATTGTAGAATTTAATTCTTTTAGCAAATCTTTCATCCAAAATGATACCTAAAAATAAAATAGACTTTGTACAACTACTATTAGTGATAATATATCAAAGAAAAAAGCTCACATAACTGGAAATGTGTCTTCATTTTCTTGAGAATAAAATATGATTTGAAATTGGAAATAAAAGTTTGATAATCGGGGACGAAGAGAGGAAAAGGAAAGATAACTTTTGTTTACTTAGGAAAAATCGTGGCAAGCAAATTACTAATATTTAGAGAAACTTGAAACAGTAAGGTTGAAAAGTTTAAAATTTCCTGTTGGCTTGTGTAATTCATAATAAAATGAGCAGCTTGTTGACCATACTCATTAGCACATCGTCGAATAAGCACATCTGTTGTGCATCTCATATCACATAATAGCAAACTACATCGATGCGCAGGCCCTAAAAATGAGCCTTCTTTTGGCCTGGTGAGCCAAAAAACCTTGGCTGGGACTTACAGTTTTCTTCGCCCCAAAAATAAAAGAAAGAAATTTAACTAAGTAACACAATATTCACCAGTAATTGTATTAGCAGTATCTATATAAGGACCGCATCTTTTTGCGCCACATTCAAGCTTTAATGCTGGTACTGCATGTCTATAGCAGGGCAGTAAATAAGTCATCTGAAAAGTATCAAAGTATTATTTTGAAATCATCTTTATTCACATCTTTCAATTAGAGAAAAATATGGGAGTGGATTTATCCCTAGTTTCTTGCTAAGTTATCGATTCTCATTGAACTAGCAATGTTCTTGAAAAGAAGTGACAAGTACCATGCAGCTAACATTGCTTGATTTTAGCTATTAGGATTTGTAAACAATTTGACAAATTCAAGTTTAGATTAATTCCCTTAATCAGTGTAACACTTAAAATGGTTGCTCATCTTTTATAGTTACTACTTACAAATGACTTTTCAATATTTTTTTTTTCAAAATAAAAAATTGACTTCTTTATAATGATGCTTGCAAATGAAATCATTCATATTGAATTGTATTATGAAACCACAATTACGTAAGCACAAACTATGCTGATCGTCTAGGCGACAAAACAGTTTGAGATCATTTTCATCTACTAATGGTGGAAAACTGCTACTGCCAAATGCCATGTGAGCCTAAAAATAATAGTTTGCGATGGAATAACTGTTCATGATTATGGCTATCTTACTCCAAATAAATGGAAAAACAGAACATTTCTGTTTCTTCGAGGAAAGGAAAATGTTTTGAGAATTTAGATATTTATGTGTAAAGATGAATAGGATTTGTAATTCGGTTTACACATGTTTCCTTGGTCTTTTAATTCTTTTTCTGTTATAAAAGCAGCTCTTCGATCGCTATTTTATGAAATGATATTTTGAAAAAAACCGAAAACTTGTTCCAAAGTTTCTTCCCAAAAACAAAATTTTTGTTTTGCTCTGACTTTTACAATTTGCATCTAGTAGACAGTGCTGTGCCATACACAAAATTTATCAGTTAAGTACCTTAACCATGTCAAGACCGAGTCGTAAATTGTCGTTACATTTATTTTGGCATATTTTATCCTTCAATGCTTCCGAATTCACTGTTCTGAATAATTCCCAGCGAATACGTTGCTCTTCCTGCTCCGCCAGATCCGATTCGATTTGTGCCAAGTCAAATGCTCGTTTACGTCTAACAATCTTCTGTAGGGTCAGCTCTAAAAATTATTCAGCTTGATTAGAGTTATTATTTTAAATAATTTCTAGATATTGGAATTTGTTTGGTTTCTTTCGATTAATTTGACATTTTCTTATGAAAATTGCAAAAGTTAGGATGAGAAATACCTTGACTTCATTAATTCGAGAATTTTTTCAAACACTAATTTGTAACATTTGTGAGTTTCGAAACGAATATTTGTAAATTATTGCCACAGTAATTTACAAATTATCAAGCTAAATCCTCAAGTTTTTCTAATCCAAAAAAAATAGTCAGTTTAAGTACTTTTTAGTTAGAAAAAAGTACGAAAAGCAAAAGTCCTTAATCCTTAATTCATTTTTTACTTAGCAAAATCAATTGACTATACAAAGAACAAAAACCATAGGAGCGCAATTACTTTCATTCTTCCCGTAAAACACTTCAGTGTGCTTATAAAATTGCTTTTTTGCTGTGAATAAGTTGATGGAAAACAGTTGCATGCTTCTATTCTAATATATTTGTCAACATAGATTTAGATGTATTTATATCCTAGTAATTACCAACATAATTTATATATTGTTAGATGGATAATACTAATAAAAACGGCTCATAAATAAATAATAATAATTAGCTGAAATTCATCCAGGTGATATTTTACTTCACTTCAATTAATTTAAATTTGAACTAATCAGAGAAAATGGTATAATTCTTGCCTGTTGTTTGCATTTCAGAAGTTATAAAATGCAAAAACAGCGTAAGAAAAAACTTCATATTGCAGTGCAAGGAATTCATTTCAGCAAATAATTTTAATTTCATTATTTTCCCGTTGTTTAGTGACAGTTCATAGCTGTTGTGTTTCCTTCTCCAAACATCAATTAAATCGAATTTATTAGAATCACTAATATCTAAAGACGTTGTTTTAAATGTACATAAATTAAATTCCAAAATGCGCGCCTCATTACGGAAAATAAACAAATATTCTCGGGATCTGGAAAAAAACTGTTCAAAATTGCTGTTGGATTGCTTTTGATGCATGAATACAAGTTTGATTCTTAGCATACTGTTTGTCGAGCACAGATATCTATGATCGATGAGTCTTATATTAAGAAACAAACTTGTAATCGTGTTCCCAAAATTATTCAGTAAGACTTATTTAGATTACAAATTAAAGGACAAAGAATGTATGGATAAGTGGTTTTAGCCTTTTTTGTATTTTTCAAAGTTAAAAATATCAAAAAAGATTGCATATTTTAATCCATGCAATTCTTTATTTCTGTATATCAGTTTTTTACTATAAATTATAATATATAAGATTCCGACCGATTAAATTCTTAATAGTCTAAATTGTTGAGGGGCCCGTGATACGTTCATGCGTGTCAAGATACGTTTCTTTACAAGTATTCAGAGCAGTTGTTTAACCTTATTAGAATCGATGCATAAGAGATCAACAGACTTTGTGTCAATAAGTTTTTCTGCAACGCACTGTTAATATATCGAGCAAAATTCATTTTAATACAATTCTCTCTCTCTTCCTTATTATTTCATTTGATAAAATTTTCGTATTTATTTAGTAATTTCTTACAGAGGTAATTAAAGAATCATGTAATTAATACCCAAATTGGAATTTGAAAGATGGGATAAAATTAAAAATGTCGGAGTTTTTTGAGAGTTGATTTCTGCAAAAAATTTGAGCTCTACTTCGATCTGAGAATTTTGAACAAATCTGACCTTTTTTATTTCCTACTTATTTTTGATGTAATTGTTGAAGTTTAGAATTTTTGAGCTTCTATTTCTGGAAATATAAAGGATGATTTTTCTCTTCACAGGACGGAAGATAGCATAGCTTAATGAAACTCTTTAATCAGAATCGTTTACTTCACACGGTACAAGGAAATACTAAAAAAAAAACGATTAGAAACGAAATTCAAAACAAAATATTTGACTACCGCTAATGTCTCATGAGTGAAATAGTTCTTAGCAACATCTTTCTTCATTCCATTGTTGCGCAATTTCTGTTTATTATTAGGTAAAATTTTTAGAAAAGAAAGATGAAAGGAATAAAATTCCAGAAATATGTTTTTGAGCATTCTGAAACTAAATTATCTATTTTTTAACAATTTGTTAAATTCAGCATAAAAATAGACAACAGAAGAAAAGGAAGAGAAAAGGTAGAAGATCGAAAGAAAATGGAAAATGATTTTCGTTTTCTAATGCACCATTTTCTATAAGATGCGTTATTGGCTTTAATAGCATCAAATGAGCAGTTCTGGGCGGTTCTGCTCACTTTCTGTCAATTCATTTTATTTTGAGCAAGAAAAGAAATCTGAATTCATTGACGGCTGTCATATTTTCTCACGTTAGGAAAGGGTCAAGCATTTTAATGATTTCCGTCAAAACTTGTTTAAAGACTTGTGAACAGAGTAAAATTCACTTTTAGATATTCATTTCGAAAACATGGATTAGTTTTTTAAAAATTCACCAATTTTTAACTTTGATCTAATGTTCCAAAATGTTTTTATATAGTCTTTATCTACTTGATATAATCTATGAGAGAGTAGGAAGTCTCTTTATTGTGTTCATTTTTAGACTTAGTTAAATATATATTAGTAAAAAATATGGAGAAAAACGGTAATCAGAACTCATTAATGCCAGATTACTGCTTTTTCTTATAATAAACTTTTCTCAAGGTAATAAAATTATTATTTAATCAGAATTTTCATTTCTACTCAACTTAATGAAACATTTGACATTTATTCTATATTCAAATTCTTTGAATTTTTACAAAATTCTTTGAATTATTTATGCTGGGACTTGAATTAGACTTTTTTAGCTTATCAGACACTGAGTAGGTGTACCATATTAAGCTAAATTGCAATATATATAGATAAGCCTATAAGAATTACACTTGCAAGCACATCTTAAGGATTTATTTCAATTTTTAATTCCATCAGTTATTACAAGCTGAAGAAGGAAATAAAAACGAGAAGAAAAAATGGTGGAATAAATGTTAGAACCGAAGCTATCTAAATGTTAGAACCGAAGCTATCTCACGTTTTTTCACATGCCACTTGCAAACGCAATGTATTTTCTTAGGTATTTTTAAAAATACATTTACATTTGCATGTTTTTGCAGTTTTGCAGTAGTTAAGCTAAATCTTAGATTCAATGCAACAATACCTTTGAATTTTTTGCACAGCCTGTGCAAACTTATTTTTGGACTTGTAAATATAAAATAGTGAAAGTTGAAAACAAGGCATGTTTCCTAAAGTAATAGTATCATTGTTGCAAATAGTGGGTTTTGCAGTGCAATTTAAATTCCATGTAAAAGTGTAACTGTAAGAAATAAAAAATTGATAGTCCTCTGAGTCAATTTTTTGAGAATGTTTTGATTTTATATGATCGGGCATAAAAGTCATCCCACTGGTTTCAATTCAACGAAAGCAACACAAACGCGTTTTCCTTCCTCTCTATTTGATGCACCAAACCTTGCTAGCTAGTCAAACAATTTGTCAGTTTTCTATTTTTGTTTTCTAATTTTACAATCAGAAATTGTTTAAGTTTACAATTTGAAATTGTTTTCGTTCTGCACCTTGAAAATGAAAAGTTCCGCTTTTGTTGCACATGAATAATCGCTATTGCTAAAATTCTGCAGTTCTCAGCACTGATTTATTTAAAATTATATATATGTTAATTAAATTATGAAGTTGAAAATTTTGAGAAAAATTAGTCGAGTTAATCAGATCCTCTACCCATTTCCATTTTTAGCAACGGTGGCGGTCGCAGTGGCGCATTTTTGGCATTGGACGCAAATTTGGAACTTTTGAAGAAGACAGGACAGATTGATGTATATGAATATGGTAAAATATTAATTAATGCTCGACCTCATCTGATCGATTCGGTAGATCAGTACCAATTCATTTATGATGCTCTCGCTGAGGTCGGCTTAACTCAAATGAATTTCTGTTTTTTTTTATTTTGTTATCTGCATGCTGATTGATTTCAGCTAAAGCAGTCCCTATCGTCATCCAATCTCCTTTTTAGCCTTAGGATTTTAACCTCTTGCCACTTGGATCCGAATTTTCTTTCAGTCTTTGTCTTAACTGCAATCTTCGGCTCTTAAATTAGTAAATGATTCCTTCGTTGTTTCAGTACCTACTGAATATCACACTTGGAAAATTTTAGGCAGTCTTGTGTAATATCGAACCGATCGAAATGTGGAAGTTGAAGAAAAGGAGTAGTATGTACAAAGCGAAGAAGAATCGCCAGGTAATGGAAGCACAGGTTGCTAATGAAGCTAAGGTTAATAATATTTTTATAATTTTTTTTTCACTTTTTATTATCCAGGCAAAATTTTCACAAGATTTTGGAAGTATTTGATGAGAAAGCTTGAAAACTTCAACCAAAACTTCAATTTTCGAAACAAATATTTTACAGTTGCTAGTAATGTTGACACCTACGTTGAGGATTGGTGATTGTGCTGGTGGTCATCGGTTAGAGAATCGCGGTAAAAACAGGGACGTAATGGTAGTACCACGTAGGTTCTTATACTATATTATTTCTTTCTATTTAAACTATTTCCTTAATATGTCATTTAGATATTGCAGATATTTTCAAAGCTTCTTTGGAATATGTGTTAATGGCATACTTTTTTTGCTTATTAAAAATTCAGTTGCAGCTGACCATGCTCGACCGTATTTACAAACGTTACACGGTGAAAGCAAAGATTACACTTACATCAATGCAGTTGAAGTAGATGGTTTTAGACGGAAGAATGAGTTTATCGTAACGGAGTGGCCGAAAAATTCAACACTGGATAGTTTCTGGACGTTGGTTTTCGATCATAGTTGCCATACCATTATTAATTTAAGTAATCAGGGGCGTTCTCGAGTAAGTTTTCTTTGTAAAGCCATTTAAAAAAAAACAGTAAATAATCCAAATAACTGACGAAAGATGACTAATCAGTATTACATTTCCAGTTCAAATTATTCATTAAATTTGTACGAATTTCTCATCCTCAAAATAAGTATTTCGTTTAATAGGTACTGTACTTCGAGCTTATGCAAATTCTAAAACTCTGCTCTTTCAGGCATATCCAACATTCCTACACAGCAAAGGAAAGCACACATATGGGCCTTTTGTTGTCGAAATTTTAAATCATCATCAATATCCATCAATGACCTCTCATATGGTCAAAATTATGAAGAAGGTATGTGTCTCGCACCATTAAAATACATTAAAATCAATGTATATGCAAATATTTTTGAATCAGTTAATTAATATAAGAAATTCATTATTTTTTGTCTCTTTATGCTCGTTATCTTTTTCCAATTTAAACCACGTTTGTTTATCTATTTTTCACTGAAAAGTTCTTATTCTTCTGCCAAATCTCTCAGTGTAAATTTGTTTCTCGATTTTTATTTTTTTGAATTTTTCCAAGCAAAATTTTCGAATTTCCATTTCTAAATTACAATTTTCACTCCAGCATATCAATTTCTGATTTCTCTTACACTATTACCATCATGTACTGGAAAAGTGATAAAAGACAAATTTCAACAATTCTAAAAGCATATATCTTATCGGAACAAAATATGTCACTGTGACACTGAAAACTGTCAAAGAGTAAAAGAATTAAGACATAGTTTTTAACCAAAAATTGCGATAGAAAATGCATATTCTAGAAAACAGCTCACGTCATTTGTGGACGTAAATGATTTGAAACTCGTCGTGGCGTGTTTTTCTGCCATTCCAAATGTTTTCTATCGAAATCTTTTCTCTATCTATCAAAATTGAATATTCTATTGTTATCCAAATTAAAAAGAAATGAAATGAATTTTTTTATTCTTTTTATACTTCATGTTATTAGTATTGACTTCATTGTTCTATCCACTCTACTCTAACAAGAATGACACTTGATGGTCAGTTGACGGTTCCATTAATATGTATGAGATCAAGACTCGCTGCTTAAATGTGCAACTATTGCTAATCACGAGTTTAGCAAAGTTCTCTCAAACGATACTGACATGAAAATTTCCTTCACGAAAGAAATTTTCATGTTAGTACCGTTTTAGCTAACAAGATTATTTTAATCCTAATTGGTATGTTATTTAAATCCTTCAACACTTCTGAAGTTCTTCTACATTACGGTTTCTTAACTCGATGATAAGGTAGTTGTTTCTACCTGAATGAGACAGAAGTTCAAATTAAAAATGAATGTTTTAGTCTGAATTTTATCTGAATTATTATTCTTTAAAAGTGAGTCACTTAAAGAGAGTTAATATATTTTTCCTACTTAAAACAAAACAGACAATATGTGAACACTATGAAGAATTGAAATTGAGTAGAATTAATTGCTTCTATGTAAAGGGAATTAAGCGTATTTGACTTGAGCAATTCAATTAATAATATTGTGAACACACTCACTGTGTGATATTTTCTCTAAATTGCTCATTCTTGACTTGTTCTGCTTTGTTTCATTTCTTTTTAACAAATTATTTTTGGTATTATTTTTCTTTTTTATTCTTTACAAAAATTCATTGCTGAGTTTTCTTTTTTGGAAATTCACAGACAAGCCCGACATACATTAAAATTCTGAAAGAGAGAGGGAAGGAATGATGGCAAGTATTGCAAAGTGAAACATCTAAAATGATATTTGAAGAGAGTAATTCAGTTGGGTAATTTCTTTTATCTTAATTCACGTAAGATTCCAACAATGTTAGTTTTATTTCTAAAGATTAGACTAATAAACTTAATTTTGATGCAAAATGTTTTCATTTTTTAATATCGTTTCTGTTTTGTCATTTTATCAAACTTTTATCAAACTTATCTAAGTTTACGATTTACATTTATTTTTGTGTGGTATTTTAAATTTAATTTGGAATAAATACAACCTTAAAAGTTACAATATTAAATCTGCGCTACAATGCGAAGGGCTTTAAATAATTCTGATACTAGAAATATGTTGCAATGAAAGCAAATACAAAATAGTTTCTTTTTTCTTAAATTATTCTTAGGATTGTTGAATGATTTTCTATATCCTTCTATTGTTATTTTCCTTGTGGTGCCAACTTTGCTTTCTGATATGGTACCTATTCAAAAGATTCAGATACTTTCTACGTCTTATTAAAAGTTATTTTCAAAAAAGACACAGCACAACAGTATCAAAAAGTAAAGTGGCTTTATCTATTTGAGGCAAAAAATTAAATGAAAATAAATGAAATAATTTCTTTAAAATGGAAGTGTTTACTTTCGCTGATTTGTTCACTGATCACTAAATCGATAATCTATAAGTAATTAGATTTCCTTTTTCAGATCAATCAAGAAGTTCTTCTTTTATTTTTATTTCTCTTCTTAAAAGTTTTGCTGTTGTCATTCGATGCATATTTTCAGTTATTTATGATCTCAGAAATAATGGCAAACGGTACCAATCAACAGCAGTTGGAAGCCGAAGTTAGAATATGTTGTGTTATACAGGTAATAATACTTCAATAAGCAAAATGACTTTGACTTATCATTTATTTCATTTATTGTTTTGAAAATTTCTCGAACAATAAAGAAAAAGTGAACTTGTGAATATCTAATTGGTAGACAATTAACACTTTCTAATTTTTTATCTGTGCAAATTTTTAGCTGAGAAAGAAACGAATGTATGCCTTAAGTTATTTGATTTTTAGCAAGTCAGTTCTTAACTCAAAATTTTCAAAATATTTTTAAATTATACTTTAGAAAGCCTTTAGATTCGAATGTGGCCAATTGAAAACAAGGTTCCATCATCAACTTCTGGTCTTATTGATATGATAAAAATGGCTCGCAGCTGGCGGAAACGTGCTCCAGAAAGACCGGAAACAAAACCCACAATTGTTATGTCACAGTAAGTACAGAATCCATTCTACACTTGTTTTTTATAATTCTAAATTACCAGGAAAAGATAGATGTCATTTTTTTGAGCATAAAAACAAAATTGGGAAGTTACATTATTTGAACAAAAATATTTTGAAGTATGTTAAGTGCAGAAACTTAGTCAAAATTTTAGTCTGAATTTTATCTAATTTAAAACATAGTTCATTCATTCATTCATTCATCTGACATTTTTTAAGTTGATTGAGTACACCAAAACTCAATTTGCTCTTGAAATTCCTTTTACTGAAGCTAAATAAATAGATTTAAATGACGTAATTTTTGAAGTAGGCCAGAAATTCTTTCTCGAAGACCCATGGAATTATTTTCTTTGATAGATACTTCACTTTTTAATAAGTTTATTTCCAGTAATGGTGTAAATCGATGCGGCATTTATATAGCTGCTAATGTATGTATTGATCAAATGGATATGGATCATGAAGTTGATGTCTTTCATGCCGTCAAATTGATTAGAATGAACAGACCACAACTTGTTGACAGAGTAAATTTGTTCACTCACTAATTTTTGTTTTATAAAGTTGCAACTAATTAATAGTTAGTGCTTATTGGATTAGAAAGTGTTAGAAAATGACTTATTTATCTATAAAGTAATCTTAAAAGCTAGTGCTTATGTTAGGAATGACTTATTTATAAAAAGTAATTTCAATGACACTTTGTAATTGTAAGATTCGAGATAAAAGTTATAATAAAAACGACTGTTTTTCAACTTCTTTTCTTGCTCACAAGAATAGAAGACAACAGGTGTGACAATCTTATTTAGTTGTATAGCAATTTTATGAAAGAGTTCAGTAATTAATGACAATTTATGTTCGATTTCTGAGTGTCTAAGTTGTGAAAATTATTTACAAATTAAAATTTTATTTTCAAGAAATATTTTTAATAAAATTTTAGTAATGTAATTTTAAATATATAATTCAGGATGAATATAAATACTTGTATGATTTGATGCTACACTGGTACATGACCAATCCGGAATATCGTATTTTTGACCAAAAAGAGGAATCACGAGATTCAGCATCGCAGAATAGTTCGTTACGTAATTTAATACGCTCCAGTAATCCAACAACTATTTTGAATGCTAACCATATTAGTTGACGATGGATGAATTGTAGGGTACTAATCATTTTGGTCATCTTATAACACCAACGCTGATCGATTTTCGCAAATAATACGGAAATCATGAGTAAAAAGAAGAAATGAAGACAATGAAGAAAAGTTAGCTTTTTTCCAGTTTTACTTTATTAATCCGGTTCAGAACAAAATATTACGGCTATCACTTGTTATTATCTATCATTATTTCCTTCAAATTTGAGCTTTTCAGAACACTTATTATTAGAAATTTAGGATAGTTATGTAAATTAAAGTTGGAATAATTATTTCTGTAAGTTTCCGAAATTAGATAAATGGTAAAATAGCTTTAGAAAAAGATTGAATGAAAATTTTTATCCTTCTTGCTTAATCCTTATATTTTGTTCTTGACCTTCAAATTTTTGAGCAACCTAAAAACTTCATGAAAATCGGGTCATCTTTTTTAAGACTTAGAGTAATTTTAGAGCAAATAAAATACCTTAAAATTTGTTTTCATCGACATTTTCTAAACTGTGGTTTCTTTGATATGTATAAAATTATGGAAACAGAAACACATTTTTCATTTTTATGTGTAATTCAAGAACTACGTAAGTTTTAAAATCGCTTGTTAAATTTTTTGAAAGCTTTTTTCGGAGAGCTTTTCTTCGTTCTATACTTTTTGTATTACAATTGATTCTTCTGTGTTTCATTAAATCGCTGCTCAAATGTCATATTTAAAGTTTTAATTTTGCTCAATAGCACTGTAGTTAAGTATTTTTTTAACGTAATTCGCCTTTCTTGCAAACTATGATTCGGCTCTCTTTATTGGTTGTTTCAAAAATTGAAATATTTTTTTCTTCAGTCTACATTTATCATTATTTTCTAAATTCTATATGTTGTAGGCTGGTGAAGATTTTACGTAATTTAATTCTGTCGAAGTCTGAAGCTTGAAATAAAATGTGAAGCTCGAATTCTAGTGATAAAGAGGGAAGAAAAATGTTATGCATAGAAAGGATTCACAAACCCAATATTTGGAGAGCAGCGGAAGCAACTCAGAAGCTTAAGAATATCCGTCTAACAGGAAAGTCAACCGAAACATTTAAGGAAAGCAAAATAAACTCTCTCTCTCTCTCTGTGTGGAATTTATTCTGTTATGTGGGAATCATGCAGAAATGGCCAGACCCTATATTCAAAAATCTGCAGATCAAGAGTTCATTACTTTTTATCCAATACTCAAATAGGATCAGTATCACACTATTGAATCTGTCTTCGATTTTGTTTTCTATTATCTTCATACCGATACTTTTTTGATCCTTCAGGTTGATGCATTGATGTTTTACTTATCAAAGACTATCAAAACTATGCATTACCTCAGCTTTTATTGAGGTGGTCAAAGCCCTCCGTCTATTTACCTGTCAGTTTCTCTGTGTTCGTCTTTTTACCTTTTGTTTCAATGTTCTTTTGCATACTATTATTATTATTTGTTGATTTGAGCAGCAAAGTGACAATGAAAAGATAAATTTCAGGAATAAATAAAGAATGAAATGAACAAATGATCCCGTTTTCGCTATTTCCTTTTTACTTACGGACAAATACTTAAAGAGTTATGGAAGGTAATGAGAAGCTTAAAAAGCTGATATTTCATTATCGTTGAATTTTTAGATTTTACTGGACAGCCAAATTGCAGTGAATTGCATTTTCACCCTCTCTTATCAGCAGAATCACAACTATTCAAATAAATGATATTTTGTGATCTACTTTTATTTCACGCCATACAAGCCTATAAAAGTTAGGACAAAGTTAATTTATTAAGTTTAAGGGAAGCTGATATTTCGAATTATCGCGTAATATTGTGCACTAAAGAGATAAAAATCAATGATAATACAAACTGAACATATTGAAATATTTATTCACAGATCAGTTACAATAATAAAGCTAATGAATAATTTGTATTTGTTGATTTCGCAAATGGCAAATGTTACTTTTACTTCTTGTATTACCGAATATAACATAAAATACATAACATAAAACACACAAATAAACATTTCCCAATTCACAACTTCTTGCGCTCCAAAATTAGAAAAGATGAATCCACTGGACGCACTCATTTTTTAATATCATACTGATATTTACTTGATACACGACCAATTTAGTCAAGATGTGCACCACTTTGAGGTCACTCTGGTATTTTTTTTATTCTCTTATGTAATTCCTTTTTTTTTCCTTTTCTCTTTAAAGCATAAAAAAGACAATGGGAAGTTTCCTAGATTGAAGATAAGATAAGCTGATCAACAATTAATCTTTTTACCTATACGACATTTTTTTTTTGACCTCAATTGATGATATGTCTATATCTAAATATTAGAAAAATAAATCTTGCCAGTTAAAAAATATGTAAAAAGTATCTGATGCGTCCATTTTCCAGCAAAACTGGTGGATTTAATGAAATGCTCGTTAATTACTGTGATTTATTGTTCTTACGATTATCAGTCCGTCCTTTAATTAACATTTACGTATCCGATTCTGTACTACTTCAAATAAGTGTACTGTTTCAATAGAAAGATTACTGTATAACAATTTCGAATGAATAACTAAAAAGATGTTTTGATATTGTTTTATTGTTCGTTTGTTCCATTTGTCATTATTTGTCTTAACACAGCATTTATTAAAATTTCAAAAATTAAATTCAGCATATTTTGTACAGTGCTACTATTACACACATAGAATGACAATGATACCAATGGTATAAGCAACGAGAATGATGAATGATACGACGTTATTGATGGCGGTATGAATTTGTAGCCAATCTTGGTGATAATCTTTCGCTGAAGTTCCATCCATTTCAGTACACGTTTCACTTCCGCAACACAAGCTAGTATTGAGAGCAGAAGCCAGCAATGTGTATCGATGTGCTAAAAAGATATCATTTTAAGTTAATTAAATGAAATATAATAACGATACAAAGGATAAATAATATCACATGAATAAGTGATTAGCGAATAATCTTGAAATATGCGAAGAATTGGATTCATTTGTGCAATTGCATCAGAAATCGTCAGAAAATCTCGCTTATGAAAAAAAAAAAACCTTTTAAAAATTTATTTTTAAATCTGACGCTGGCAAATCTGATGTATAAGATTTCAAAAGAACCTCTTTATTCAGCCAAAGATTATATTTCCTTCCTATTGGTCATACGAATAAATGTTTCCTTCAGAATTCCAACTTATCTCTTCTTCTAATTTTTCTCTAATGTTTAATTAGAAAAAAATTTTTTTCTAATATTTCAATAAAATTTTGATTTTAGAAATTTTTAAAAAGAATAACTAGTTATTTTATTGCAGCAACTACTAATCCTCAAGCAAATATTTATTTTTACCAGGTGGCAATTTCCGTCGAATCCGTGACATAGCGCTGATAATAAGAGTCAAAAGTAAACTAACAACTGTCGTAGCTAGTGTGAATACGTAAAATGTGTCTGAAATGAGTTTTAAATTTGATCAATAAGCAATATGAAACTCTTAATTCCCTGTACTGTTTTTTATTTTCGTCTAAGAATTCTCGTCACTGCTTCCAGTTACTTTGTAATATAATTCTGCTCGAAATGACCTTTCTAGCAAGTAGAACTGTTATCACTGCTTTTGCAAGAAGACTGAACTGAGAATAGAAATAAGCTATAATCAATCAAAAAACCTACATATGTGTGGAACAGTTTCACCAAATCCAACTTGAGGAGCCTTTATGGCCAGAAATGTGAAACTGACCAGCTGAATGAATATTGCAAACAGTTTCACGTTAATCTGCAAAACAAGGCATTTAACAACCATAAAAAATTCAAATTTAGAGTTTAATAGTAACCGCAGGAGAAGGCAGCAATATTTCAAATCATATCAAGAAAGAAATTTGCTGTTACTGGTAGGCAAGTCTTTGTGATATGTCAAAAAGGAAACAATCAATTGCTTAATGAAAGCGATTGAGTCTAAATAGCAGTTATCTAGACGAAGTGAACCAGTTGAGGGTTAATTTTCGAATTATTCTGTCAAAGTGAAATAAGCTAGCTATTAATAACGATATTTTATTTGAAAGTAAGTACTTGATCACGAAAAGAGCCGAAAAATGGTGCGATTACAACAAATAATGACGAAACCATCATGGGAAGAGTAAGTTCGATACGTAGTGTTGACGATCGACGTCGTACTTGTAAACAAATTTGCAGTATTTGTGTTCTGAAAATTTCCCACATGCATTGCACTTAGCTTGCATAAAATACAAATTGATTCGAGGAATTACTTTAAAAGAAATGTTGGGAAACAACAGGATACTAACTTGCGATCATCTTCATCCGGTAACACTTTAATTGTTGCATCTCGTACATGCCAATTGGTCCTTAGCTTTGTGAGATCCAATCCATCTGCAGAATAATTCAATTTCTTCTACAATCTTCTCCTATCAAAATTTTGCTTTCTGTGAAGTAGATCAGAAATAATTCCACTTTGACAAATTAAATTTTGAGTATCACCTTCACCCTGAGCAAGATAGTATCTGATGTAATGAGGATAAAGGACTGATTTCATCCGAAAGCAGCAATTCTTGTCATCCTGCAATGAATAATTGTGTTAAGAGACAGATAATTTAGCATTATAAAACAAAGCTGAGAAATTTATATGCTCATTCAAATTTTTAACTAACAATTACTTGAGAAAGTTATTAACAAGCAGTAGGAACTAACATCTGGAAAGTTAGTATAATCAATATCGCAATGAGCTTGCATCTTAAATTCCAACCGTCCAGTAACATTACCGCTGTTTTTCGCCACAATATTATAGAACTGTGCATAATCACCACTTTGAGATGATGTTTGAAATCTGCAACTGTTAGTGATTGAAGTTTTCTTTATTACTTCTTATCAAGTATCTTTTAACCTAAAAAAGTGGTTCAAAAAGTTGCGATCTCTTTAATGAAAGATAATTATTAAGAAAACAAAAGTCGGAAGTGCTACAAATATTTACAAATTTCAAACATACTTAGGAAGCGAAATGATCATTACACAAATAA